GGGCTTGGTGACGCCACCGTGCTGGTGCCGCGCCGGGAGCCGGCAGGGAGCCATCTGCTCCCCATCACCAGCCTTTTGATGTCGGTACCCGAGCCGCGGGCAGGGAGCGGAGAGCTTTGATGTGCAGCCAGCCCAGAGACGCACCAGCGCTCGCTCGGGACAGCCCTCGGCAATAAAACTTCCCCGTCAAGGGTTGATTTAAGCCCCACGTCGGTTTGCTCTTGGGACTTTGCAGCTCTGCCCTCCAGCCTCAGCCAGGCGCGTCTTTGGGATTTGAAAGGGATGGGATGGCTCCTGCTTTTTTCAGCGTTAAATACTTTAAAAAATTGGGTTCTTTTAATTAAAAGAAATAGCAGGACACCTTCAAAGAGCAGAAGGCGGCAAATCTCCCCTGGCTTTGCAAGCCTTTTACAAGCCCTTTTGCTCTCTCCGTCCTTAAAATCCGAGTCGTGGTAACCCATGGTACCCAAATCTCTGCCAAAAACCAGTGCTGGAAAAGAGATGCTGCTTCTCGCTATCTATCGTAGACTCTGAGGAGGTCATGGGGCTCGAAGGCAGAGCCCACAGGGATGGCCATGCGTGGGGAGAGGGGTGTTAAGCTGGCGGCGAAGGGGTGCAGCGGGTGCAGCTTTTACTCCATTAATACGGGTGGCAAATTAAGTCAGCTGGTGTTTGTGCTTTGTGGGATTAGTACTCGGGGGAACAGCCAGAAATTCCTATAAAATTCACTTTATCCTTCCACGATTGTCTACAGCTAAAGATAATCTTCTGTAAATGCTTGCTGGTGGAGTCCCAGCCCTCGCAGCACTTTCGACACGAGGGCTGATGGTGTGCTGGTGTGCCGGGCACACCTCTCCGGCAGGGATGGTTCTGCCGCGGCTGATAGCTGCCACCGAGCGCCTGGCTTTAATTAATAGGCTGAATAAACGAGCGTTGCTCAAACAGTCCCAGGATTGAGGTTAGGACAGTGTCTCTCTGGCCTGGGTGTCCGGCCGTGCTGGATTCATCCCTGCAAATCATTGTTGTGCCGGTAATTAGGCTTTAACATGTGTGAAATAAATGGGGAGGGGGATGATCAGCTGCTTTCCTTCTCCCTCGCCTCCAGCTAAAGATGATACCCCCCACCGCAGCACTTGCTCTCCCCCCCCCAAACCAGCCTGACTCCCCCAGCACCAGCTTGTGCCCTTTTTCCAGTTTTTTTTTCCAAAAACAAGAGCGAGGATTGGTCCCTGTGCCTCCCTGGAGGCTGTGCTCCCAGCTCAGCAGCGTGGCTGAAGTGTGCTGGGACTGGGCTGGGGAGTGTGCCGGGACCGGGCTGGAGATTGTGGCAGGATCATGCTGGGAAGTGCGCTGGGATCGGGCTGGGGAGCACACCAGGAGTGGACTAGGAAGTGTGCCAGGATCAGGGTGGGGAGCGTGCCAGCACTGGGCTGGGAAGCTCACCGGGAGCAGGCTGGGAAGCGTGCCTGGATTGGGGTGAGGAGCAAGCCGGCATCGGGCTGGGAAGCTCACCGGGACTGGGCTGGGAAGGGTGTTGGGAGTGGGTTGGGGAGCACACCAGAGCTGGGAAGCTCACCAAGACTGCTAGGATTGGGCTGGGAAGCTCACCGGGACCAGGCTGGGAAGCGCGCCTGGATTGGGCTGGAGAGCATGCCGGCATCGGGCTGGGAAGCTCGCCAGGACTGGGCTGGGAAGGGTGTTGGGAATGGGTTGGGGAGTGCAGCAAGACTGCCAGGATTGAGCTGGGAAGCTCACCGGGACCACGCTGGGAAGTGTGCCTGGATTGGGCTGGAGAACATGCCGGCATTGGGCTGGGAAGCTCGCTGGGACTGGGCTGGAGAGCGTGCCAGCATCGAGCTGGGAAGCGTGCCGGGAATGGGCTGGGAATTGTGCCAGCACCGGGCCGGGAAGCTCACCGGGAGCCAGCCGGGAAGCGCCCTCTGCCCACCTGGCTGTGGGGCAGGGGTGGGGAGGCAGGAGCGCTGTCCCCAAAGTGGGGATGGGGGAGATCCCTGCTCGCCCCGGGCGGCATCTAATATCCTTTTATTTCCCCCTCTCCAGTCTTCCAAGAAGCCCAAGACGGCGGAAGCGGACACGTCGAGCGAGCTAGCCAAGAAGAGCAAGGAGGTGTTCAGGAAAGAAGTGAGTTTCCCCAGCACCCCGGGGGGGGGGTTGTCACCATCCCACCCCGGTGATGTGACCCAGGGGATGCTGGAGGGGTATATCGGGGTTCACCGTCCCTGTACAGGTGACACGATGCTGGAGTGGAGGACCCCACCGCTGGGGACGTGGCCCTGCGGAGGGTTGGGGCTGGGTGGGGGGGTCAGCATCACCCCGGGGCTGGGGTGGCGGGGCCGGTGAGCGAGGGCAAGGTCGGATCCGGATCTCCTCTGGTGCAGATGTCGCAGTTCATCGTGCAGTGCCTGAACCCCTACCGCAAACCCGACTGCAAGGTGGGACGCATCACCACCACTGAGGACTTCAAACACCTGGCACGCAAGGTGACGTCCCCTCTGTCCCCGTCGGGGGGGAGAGTTTTGGGGGGATTGCATCGCCCCTTCTGCCGGCTCGTCTTGTAGGATAAGGGAAGGAAAAGAGCAATGTGGGGGGGAATAGTTGGGGAATAATTGCAGATATTGGGGGGATGATAGCAAAATAGCTTAGGGAATGTTTGGGGAATGATAGCAAATATGTGGGGAATAATTGAAAATATTTGGGGGATAGCAAAATAGCTTGGGGAATATTTGGGGAATAGTAGCAGATATGTGGGGAATCCTTGGGGAATAATAGGAAATATTTGGGGGAATATTTGGGGAATAATAGGAAATATTTGGGGGAATATTTGGGGAATAATAGCAAATGTGTGGGGAATAGTAGAAGATATTTAGGGTATAACAGCAAAATAGCTTGAGAAATATTTGGGGAAAATTTGAGGAATAATAGCAAAGATTTGGGGAACATTTAGGGAATAATAGCAAAATAAGTTTGGGGAATAATAGCCAATATTTGGGGAATGATAGCCAATATTTGGGGAATGTTTAGGGAATAACAGCAAATATTTGGGGAATAATAGCAAAATGGCTTGGGGAATGTTTAGGGAGTAATAGCAAATGTTTGAGGAATAGTAGCGAATATTAGGGGAATAATAGCAAACATTTGGGGAATATTTGGGGAATAATAGCAAAATAGCTTGGGGAATCCCCAAGACCTGAATTATTGGGAATAACGGTGGGTATTCCCGGCCCCTCTCCCCCGCAGCTGACTCATGGTGTCATGAACAAGGAACTGAAATACTGCAAGAATCCGGAGGATCTGGAGTGCAACGAGAACGTGAAACACAAGACGAAGGAGTATATCAAGAAATACATGCAGAAATTCGGGGCCATCTACAAACCCAAAGAGGACACGGACCTGGAGTAACCACCTCCACCACCTCCACCCCCGCAGCGATGCCAGATGCAGCCAAACCTCGGAATACTCTATTCTGCCAGGATTCGCGGTTTTAAACCACCAACCTGTGAATTTATTATTATTTTTTTTTAAAAAAAAAAGGAAAAAAAAAGAAAATAAACTTCGTTCCCTACGGCGTGAGGCGGTTTGTGCTGCCGGGGCGACGCGGAGGAAAAGACGGGCTTCGCTAAGCCGGGCTTTGCCGGCTCCCCTACCCCGGCGGTGCTGTCGGACGCACGCACACTGTGCGTCACCAAGCTCTGTATTATATTTTAACGTATATGTGAATATATTGATAATTTTTGGTTTTGTTTTCTTTTTGCTTTTAGCCCAAGATGTGCCGATACCATGGGAACACTTTGTAAGGATAGTTTCGGGGTTGGTTTTTTTTTTTTGGTTGTTTCCTTGGTTTTATTTTTGGTTCTGCGAGGTTTAATCTGTTTTCATGTAAATATTGCAGAGCGGGGCTGCCCCCGGATTTCTGGCAGGCCTCGTGCTATGTTGATAAGATTGATTTTACTGCTTAAATCATTTTACTTTATCCAATTTTTACGGAACTTTTTATGTAAAAAAAAAAAAAAAAAAGAGAGAGAAAAAAAATAAAAAGACAAATGACAAAAAAATCAACACCAGACCCGGCCCCGAAAGAGGTTTGGCACAGCCGGGGGGGGGTGGCCGGGGGGACCTGGCGGTGGCACCGGTGGGGACATGGTGGCCTGACTCGGTGGTCCGTCCCCTCTTGCTCGGGGACCCCCCCCTTGTCACCCTTAACATCCCCATGAGCCCCGAACCCCTGTGGGGGGGAACGGGAAGGGGTTTTGGGGTGACCTAGCTCAGGGCAGGGGCGGCTGCGCACATTTTGGGGTTAAAATGGCTCTTTTCCATCACGCCGCGTCCCCTGGTGCCACCTGCTTTGGGGTCTTTGGGGGTGTTGCCC